CGTCAAAAGCAGAATGAGAATATTGGCCCAGATCTCTTTTCGGAGAGAGATGCCTCTTGCAAACGTGACTTAGGAAGGAATTGAACCGACTCACAGAATAATGGAGTCAGAAGGGACCTTGGAGGTCTTCTAGTCCAACCCGCTGCTCAGGCAGGAAACAACCATTTCAGACCAATGGTGTCCAGTCTCTTCTTAAAAATCCATCCCTCAGTTGATGCAGTCAGGGTCGCCCTGGACTTACGACCACATTCGAGACTGCAATTCTGTTATTAAGCGAGACACAGATCAAAGGCCTTTGGCCCCCTTTCAACGACCTTTCTTGCCGCCGTTGCTAAGTGAATCACCGCGGTTTTTAAGCTAGTAACCCGGTTGTTAAATGCATCTGGCTTCCCCATTGATTTTGCTGGTCAGGAGGTCGCAAAAAGGGCAGCGGGTGACCCCGGGACATTGCCACCGTCATAAATACAAGCCAGTTGCCAAGCCTCTGTTGATCACATGACCCCAGGGATCTGCAGCGGTGCTAAGTGTGGAAAAACCGTCGTAAGTCACTTTTTCCAATGCCGTTGTAACTTCGGTCGCTAAATGAACCGTCATAAATCGAGGACTGCCTATAAAGAATAGCAGCCTGAATCCTGCAGGAATATTTCTACAGATCCTGACCTCTTGTGTTTTGGCAAGAAAGCTTGAGGGTCAGCTATCCTTTTAAATTTCGCATAATGCCCTTTGCTGATGTAGTTTTGCTCCAGGGCATTCTGGGAATTCAAGCTTGCTTTCAGAAAAGTTGGGAGCTTCATCCCTGGAAGGAAGAGACCGGACTGCCACTCTGTCAGAAATGGTGTAGGGCCTCCCGCTTGGGCAGGGGGTTGGACTAGATGACCTACAAGGTCCCTTCCGACTCTGATTATCTGTTATCTGTTAACATGGGCGTGGGGCTCTTTAACAAAAGCCCAACTTTTCATGGCTTACATGGCAGTAATTATAGAAAGGGGAGGGGAGGAACCCCAGCCGCAGCACAACCCAAACCATGTGGGTTTGTTCAGTAAGCCACAATTAAACAAATCACAGTTTGACTGCGTGAAAATGCAGCGGGCGAATTCCCCCCTCTTACAAACCGAGGTGGTTTTCAACCACCCTGCGCAGGGAAGGAGGGGGAAGGGGAAATTCCTTCATTTCAGTTTCATATTATTGTCTTGAAAGTTTGCACAATACCAGGCAGATATTTATTTAAATTAACTTCGGGCTTTATTGGAGCCTTTTTTCTCGGGTTGGAAGGACTCCGATCCCGGGAATTGCATGTCAGCAAAAATGTGTTTTTGTGCCTTTCTCGAGGTCGAAAGTTTTATTATTTTGCTCTCAAGCCGTAGTGAGGAAGGAATTTCATTTTTTTGCATCCAAAAAAATAAAAAATGATAGGGCCTCCAAAGATAAGTAAGTATATTACTGGCATGGTTTCTAATACAGCTAGATTTGCAAGACTTCGTTTAGTGACCGTTCCAAGTTATGACAGCACTGAAAAATGTGACTTATGGCCATTTTTCACCGTTTCGAACTTTGTAACGTCCCCAAGATCAGATGGTGGGCAGCTGGTTTCATATTTATGACTGTTGCTGTATCCCAAGGTTACATGATCCCCATTTGTGACCAGATTCACTTAACAACCGGGTTACTAACTTAACAACTGCAGTGACTCACTTCACGGTAAGAAAGTCGTAAAACGGGGCACTTAACAAAGGTCTCGCTTAGCGACAAGCTTTCGAGAAGAGACTGGACTGCCATCTGTCAGAAATGGTGTAGGGTCTCCTGCTTGGGCAGGGGGTTGGACTAGATGACCTACAAGGTCCCTTCCAACTCTCACTTAACAGAAATCTGTCTCACTTAATAAATATCTCGCTTAACAACAGAAATTTGAGGCTCAAATTTTTGGTCGTAAGCCGAGGAGTACCTGCAGACCGCAAGGAGGTCTGAATTAGCTCTCCCCTCTCTGTTTCTTGAAAATTAAAAGTTGAAAAGATTGGAACGTTGATTAAATTCTCAATCTGCATTTCTCCTGCTGAGGATTCCTTTAGAAAGGGGGAAGTTCAGCCTAAATAATTTAAAAATTTGGTATTGGAGCCCTATAAGATACTCTCTCTTGCAGCCTCTTAAATGCTTCAGGTTTATGCATATACAGGCAGTCCTCAACTTACGACTGCAATTGGGACCCTAATTTCCATTGCTAAGCGAAGTAATTGTTAAGTGAGGCCTGCCTGGTTTTACAATCCTTTTTTGCCAAGGTTGTTAAGTCCATCACACACTTAAGCATCGTCCTATTGTGCCAAAAAAAAAAAGCATAAAAGCTTTGTCAGTCATATTAGAAGCCAAGGCAGCAAATACAGGATGTTCTCCCTACTGGGTGCAGCTCCACCTATGGAACTCCCCGCCACAAGATGGCAATTTTGGACAGCTTAAAAAGGCTTCCCTGTAGCATGCCTGCTCCCTTCAAAACAGCCATTTAGGAGAAACTGGATGCAGAAATTGAGAACCTGCAGCATGGTAAGGCAGGTTTGCCCTTAGCAGACCCCCTCTCAAAATAATAAAAGGGATAATAAAATGTAAACCCTGCTGTTGGTTTACCCGTTAACTATCTTTCCTCATATTTAATAGATAGGGGACAGGTTAAATTGGTGAGAAGTTTATAAAAAGTAGGCCTGCTTTGCAACGAGTTGGTGGGGGAAGAACTATTACTGCAATATATTTATCAGTCTAGGGGGGACAATATATGTGTTTTTGTCTCTCATCTTTTATAATGCACTTTTTCAATGTTTCGTTCTGCTTTTGCAGTTTCCTTTTTGCATTTGAACTTTCTAAAATAAATTATTGGGGGGCGGGGGAAGAACAATATAACAGGTACATCTCCACTGTCTCAGCTTCTAAGGTTACGACAACCCTTGTGGGGCAGACAGCACCCTCCCCAAGCGTAGCTGAGCCCCCCCCAGTCAGCCACAGCAGGGTGTTGCCCCCAATGAATGACGCACCGGCAGCCAGGGACAATCCCAGCCTCCTCCTTCAACCCCCTTGTTTCTCGACCCGTAGAGACAAGCCAGGGTGCAAATCGGTTGGGTCAGCTTTTCCTTCCACCCCCGAGCAAGTTTACGCAGAAACCTGGTTTCGTCATTCCCCGCATTCCAGACTCCGCCAGAGATCAGCCGAGGACGAGCCGAGCCTCGGTGGAAAGAGCCAGAATTATTACAGGGGGAGAAAAACTGCCCTGGGAAAGCGTCCAAATTGTCTGCTTGCCAGAAGTGTCCAGTGGCAGCAGCCTTCACAGGCCGGGCTTTGGGGGCCCATAAATAACGAGAAATTACACCGTTCTCACCCTTTTCAAGCATCCAAGCAAAACCGCATTCTCCTTACTCCCGTTTCCTGGTTTATGGAGCTGTTCCTAAGCCTCAGATTGCTAAATTCCCCCTGTTGCTTTGCAAACTACTTTCTGTAGCTTTGCAAACTATTTTCTTCTTGCAAACTGTAGCTTTGCAAACTATTTTCTGTAGCTTTCAAAACTACTTTCTGTAGCTTTGCAAACTATTTTCTTCTTGCAAACTGTAGCTTTGCAAACTATTTTCTGTAGCTTTGCAAACTACTTTCTGTAGCTTTGCAAACTATTTTCTTCTTACAAACTGTAGCTTTGCAAACTATTTTCGGTAGCTTTGCAAACTTTTTTCTTCTTACAAACAACAGTGTGCCACTTTTAAAGGCCTGTGGACTTCCAACTCCCAGAATTCTCCCAGCCGGCTTGGCCTGACCATCTGGGGGATTCTGGGAGTTGAAGTCCACAGGTCTTCAAGTTGCCAAGGTTGGGCACCCCTGTTCTATCTTATGCCCGGTCGGTCTGTAAGGCCAACTGACCAGCAAATACAGAGGATAGGGATGATGATGCGTCAATAGAAGCATTATTCCTATTTTAAAAAAAATTAATTCTACTCTTGAGGGCCTTTGAAGGAGCGTGCTAAGCGATTTAGGCTGATGGTGAGGAGGTTGGTAGCTGTACATCTCTGTTCACCAATCACAAGGCCAGAGCCAGGGAAAAGGTTGGGTGGGAGTAATGCACACCTGGGCGGGGAATTCAGAGATCCTAGCCACTCACCCCCAAAGGCAAGGGGCAAGACAGCTGACCACCATTGAAGAGGCAGGTAGCAGTTTCAAAAGAAAAGCTGGGTGTTTCACTCGATCATAGCTTGTTGGGCAACCCTTTAAGTGCAGAAACCAACATTGCCTGGAGGTTGCCCCAGATGTTCAATCAGCCATAACACTTGGGGTGCAAAGGCAGGTTTTTTTTGGGGGGGGGGGAGTGTCAAAAGGCAGCAACTCAGCTGCGGCCCCGGAACAGTGACCAAAGAATGCCTGCAAACATCCAGACAGCCACCAGAGGCCGCCAAAACCCTATCTTTATGCGGGCCACCTAGTGGCTGTTAGGAGAATCGCATCCCCGCTCTTAATGGCTAACTTCTAAACCGGCTTTTCTTTGCCAACGAGACACAGAAGATCTTGGCCAAAAGGGGGTCGAGACCTTCCCCAAAAGCTCAGGACTACAAATACCATCATCCCTTTAGCGGCAGCATGGGAGTTTCGGTCCCAAGAGAGAAGGCAACGCTCCAAAAGCAAACAGAAATGGGAGAGAAAAGAGAAAAGGAAAGAGAGGGGGGGGAAAGGAAGGAAAGAGAAAGAAAGAAAAAGAAAGAGAAAGGAAGCCGAAAGGGTGGGGGAAGAGGAGAAAGGACGGGACATCGAGCGAGGCGGAGAAGGGCGTGGGAACCCTGGAGGTCATCCACGCGGCCAGCCCAGACGCGGAGGTTTCGCAAAGCCACGTGCGAAAAGGAGAAGGCTTCTCACCGCTCCGCGTGGAAGAGATGGAGAAAGAAAGAAAAAAACACCCCACAGGCGTGGGCTATTTCCAGAGGGGTACCCCCCCCACCCCAAGATCACCTGGGGGTCCCCCTTTCTCCCCCCCTCCAACGACTTACCTTCCTCCGCGTAGAGTAGCTGCGAGCGCCGCCGGATTAAGCAGAGCCGCGCCTTACTCTCGCCTCCCACGCCCGGCCGCTTGGCTTTTAAGGCTGATGTCAGCGCTCCGCCGAGGGGTGGCGGCGACGCCTCCCCCGGGGGCAGGAAAAAGGAAAAAAAAAAAGGAAAGGAAAGAAAAAAAAGAGAGAGAGAGAGAAAAGAAGAAGAAGAAGAGAAACTCAAGGGGAAGAACTGGGAGAGGCCTTAAAGGCGCAAAGAGCCAATTCGGAGTCGATCTTGAGTAGCGCCGGCAACTCCGGTCCGTGGAGGGAAAGCCTTTAAGAGCTTACTCCGGAGTAAGCAGCAGGAGAGAGCGGCCCCCCGGTTCCTGAGTTAAAGGGAGGAGTATCCAAAAGGACACCCTTTTGTCTCAAATAGTATTGGGTTCCCAGTCTGGAGAAGGGGGTTGGACTAGAAGACCTCCAAGATCCCTGATCTTTTGTTAAAAGCTCCCGCAATTGCTGAACTACGATTCCCAGCATCCCTCACGGTGTGGGGGGCTTATTCCAAGGGAGTTGGGACAAGGTGTAGGTCAACTACATCTGGAAGTGGGGGCATTGACACCCCCCCCAAGACTCAACAAACTGCTTTGCCCCCCCCCCCCTTTTCTCTGGCCAAATCGACTCCTCCCCAGTCTCAATCTTCTAGTCCATAAAGTGGCACCATTCGGCTCCAATACCTGGGATTCCGTTTTGTAGCCTGAAGTTATGCAACCACCGTTGTTGCCTCAATAGAAGATAAAACTGAGTTGTTAAGTGAGAGAGTTGGAAGGGGTCTTGCAGGTCATCTAGTCCAACCCTCCCCACCCAAGCAGGAGACCCTACACCATTTTGGACAGAGGGCAGTCCGGTCTTTCCTCTGAAGCCTGTCGCTAAGTGAGACATTTGTTAAGTGCCCTATTTTACGACATTCTTACCACAGGGAAACCCTCGATGGGGCTCGACTCTCCGGCCACGGATCAGGTCAACTCCACCATCCCTTTGTCCGGGAGAGACTAGACAGGCATTTGCCCAGAATGGTTACGGAGTCTGCTGCTTGAACAGTGTGGGGGTTGGACTAGAAGGCCTCCAAGGCCCCAACGTTTTGGTGGCTCCGCGAGTTAATGCGTTTTGCCCCATTTTATAGAACTTTACTCGCCACCGTTGTTAAGTGAATCGCTCTTGTTAAGTTAGTAGCAGGGTTGTAATATGAATTTGGCTTCCCCCACTGACTTTGCTTGTTAGAAGGGGAATCACACCACCACGGGACACTGCAACCGTCGTAAACGCGAGTCAGTTGCCCGATATCCGAATTTGGATTACGTAACCATGGGGATGCTGCAACAGTCATAAATGTGAAGTTATCATAGGTCATTTTTTTTCAGTGAGCTAACTTTGGTCCCCAAACAAATGGTTGTAAGTCAGGGACTACATATATTGTATGTTCTACTAGCTCGATGCCCGTTAAAGGAACATTTTATTTATATCCCACTAGCTGGATACCTGTGTTTCGCTACGAAACTATGTGTTCGGGCTTAGTTTTTGGAGAGGAAAATAAGGAGCGGGGTGGGGAATTCTCCCTCTGCCTCCCAGCACCCATCAGTATTCATCTGGCTAGCCTCCTCCTGTCAGTGTGAGAGTTGAAGGCTGTTTGGAAACTGAAAGAGTATTTGCTGTGTGAGCAAGAAGGGGACAGCAAGGATCCTGGGCGTGGCTTAGCTCAACTGTTCTGTACTAAAGCTGCTTAGCGCTGTGAAACTAAAACTGAAACTCCTCTGCTTGTGTTTTGCATTTGGAACATTTCAGGGTGAGGAGGGGGACTCCTTAGCATCAGAGCATGTTGTTGTTGTTGTTATTATTATTATTATTATTATTATTATTATTAATAATAATAATAATAATAATATAGGAAATGCTAATGCTCTGATGGTCATTTTGAAAAACCCTTTCTTAGTGAGCACCTAGAAGCCAAGAGGAAGATACGTGCCAAATGTCAAGTTTGTACGCTTTACTGGAAATTTTGTGATGATGTGTGAGTGGTATTTCACACACACACACACACACACACACACGATAACTTCTAGAGAGGTTGGTCTTTTTCATCTCTAGCACAAACCTCTCCCTTACCCCCCCCCCCCCTGCCTTCCAATTTCTCTCATTTTGTTCTAATTCTATTTTTAATTCAGATCTTTTTTTGAAAAAGTCTTTTTTTGACTCAAGCTCAAATCCCATGGGCCTATCTGAATAGCGTGCGCTTGGCCTCTGTGCTTATTCGCCAGAATAAAACGATTCCCTTCCCAGAAGGAATTCTTGGTGGTGTCCTTTCCAATCCATAAATTAGCCGCCAGCTCTCAAATGGCCATAGTTTTACCAGATTTACCAATTTGGAGGCCTTTCACAGGTCGGACAAAAGAAAGGGGTACCTCTTCAGTTTTGGGCTGGACTGTGGAATCATTGGATAACCTATTTCCTGAGTGTGTGACCATACACAAAACCACAATGGAAAACCCGAAGGCCAGGCAATTTAAAAATGCAATTTAATAAATGCAGTTTATTCGATCTTTCTCCTGAGCCGATTGGAAGTGCCTCGCACAACAACGGCGAGAAATCCTCTCTGCACAAAAAAATAGAGATAACTTTAATTCCCACAATGGATGACCAGTTGGCAAAGCTGATGGGAGCTAAATTGTTTGCTTTTACGAAAGAATACAATTAATTTTGTTTCTCCTTGGAAACCACTTCTGGACTTGGTGCTTGAGGTAGAGAACAAAATAGGAAACTTCCGATTTTGGGTTCTGCAGATCGGATAAGGTTTGTCAGTATAGAAACGGCTAGTACATTTTACTGCGTAAAAGTAAAAAAGTCAAGGTTGCAAGTTTTGATCTTACGTTACTGCGCTAAAAATAATTGAAAGTCATTTTTTTTCCTTTCCTCTTTTACCCTGCCCTTTTTTCTCTTCCCCTTTTTCCTCCCCTACATTTTTTTTTCATTTTCTCCCCCTTTGTATCTGACGTTTTGATAATATATATAAAAGGAAAAGAAATGAGTTTTGCAAACAAGGACCCCGAGGGAGCCGAATCCTCCTCCCTCCCTCCTTTCGCCTCCGGGCAGCTCTGGCCTTCCTCCGTCCCTTCGGGATGCACGTCACTTGCAAGACAAAACCAAATTTGGGAAGACAGGAAACGAATTCCAAAATCCACCCCACCTCCTCCCCAACCGGCCGGGTCATCCACCCTCAATCCTGTCTCTATCTGAGGGGCGAAGGAACGGATTCAGCCATGAGCAACTTTCCCAGCCAAAAATTAGCCCCGTAAAAAAAAAAAACCCCGCTTTTCTAAAAGTTTGGGGCAGCTTTAAAAGTTTGCTAAAACTGGATTTGTTTGTTTTCTTTTCCCTGGCTGAAGGCAGACGGGGAGGGGAGTTGAAGGGAAGAAGCGTGAAGATAAAAACTAAGAATTAAGCTAAAAACACAACAGAAGGACCACCCCTTTCGCTCGCTGCATTCCTTGAGGCAGACGTCAGCTTTCAGCTATGCAGTTCCCAATGACATCATTGTAGCCCCTACCCTCCTTTCCCAGATGCCAGGGGGACCAGCTCTGGGGATTAGGTCCTCTCTGGTACAACTCCCCCCTCCCCAAATCGTGAAATGCTGGCTGGGAACAAAGGAACAAGGACGACAATTATCATTGCTCTGGGCTAGGAGCCTCCAAACTTGGTGATTTTCAGATTTGTGGGCTTCAACTCCCAGAATTCCCTTGGCAACAGTCCTTGGCATGGCTGGCCGGGGAATTCTGGATAGTTGGAAGTCCACAAGCCTTAAAGTTTGGAGACATCCCCCACCACTCCTGTTTTTGGGTTATCAAATCCGTGCAGTCTTTGCAAAAAAAAAATAGATCCCCCAGGTCAATTTTGTCTACCCGTTAGGATCCACTTGGCAACAGGCACCTATTTGGGACCGTCGCGCTATCCTGGGATCGAGTGATCCCCGTTTGTTTAATCTTTCCAGCCGGCTTCCGGCAAGCACGGTCAAGGAGGGAAGGACCGCTGCAAGGTTCGCTTAGCAACGGCACCGACCTGCCTAACGACGATGGCAAAAAATAAAATAATGAAGCAGAATGAAGCACGACTTCGCCGAAAAAGACTTGCCCGCCAAAAATTGGGCTTCGATGGTAGTCGTTAAGCCAAGGATGATCTTGTACGGATACAAGATGAAGAGTTGGAAGGGACCTTGCAGCTCATCTAGTCCAACCCCTGCCCAAGCAGGAAACCCGACGCCATTTCTGACAAGAGGGCAGTCTAGTCTCTTCTTGAAAGCCTCCAGGGGTGAAGCTCCCGAAGCAACACACCCTGAAGCAGCTTTTGTGAGTCAGAAATAAGTCACACTTCCCCTGACCGACAACTGAAAATGGCAGGTTCCTTGTTTTTTTTTTAAAGAGTAGCATCACCCCTGATTCACATCTGACCTACAGCTGGCGACCAGATCCTGCGCAAGCAGAGGATTCCCCATGAACTCTGGAGCACTTCCGACAGCCTCCAACACAACGCAGGACACCCTTGTGAGTCGCCATAGTATAGGTTCTCCTGCTTGAGTGGGAGGCTGGACTAGAAGACCTCTAAGGTCCCTTCCAGCTCTATTTCTATTCCTTTGCAACTTTTCTGCATCTCGGGGGGGTCCGGAGTTCTGACTCTCTGTTACAGGGAAATCCTCGACCATGTGCGGTTGTTAGGTTGCCAACTTAACAAGCTCCAGCCTTTCACTTCACAGCTGTGGCCAGAAAGGCGTGGAGTGCTGCAAAACTCACTTTACTTTTGGGTTCCATCGTGATCCTAAGTTAAGGTCGGGGTGGGGTTCAAATTTTTTAACAACCTGTGGGCGTGGCTAGGTGGGCGTGGCCATTTGACTGGGTAGGCGTGATTTTTTCTTTCTTTTTTTTTTGCAGTAACCCCCTCCCCCCATTTTTGGGGCCTTCTGGACCTCAGGGAAGCCTCCTGGGGGTCGTTTTTGCTCCCAGGAAACGTAACTGCCCCGCCCTCCATTTCCTGCCTTCCTGGGACTCCTGGGTGAAGCGGTAAGTAAGTGAGGGGAATCCTGGCACAGCTGATCGTCAGAACAGCTGATCGTCGGGAGGAAAAAAATAAAAAGAAATACCTTAAGAAGCGACTGGGCGGGGAAGAACGCAGTCGGCGATGTTGGGCATGTACGCAATGTTGCGCACGCACAACAAGGACTGACTGGACAGGAAGGGGGGGGAGGACTGAGAGGGGCGAGGCCAGCCAGGGACACGATTTGCCAGTTCTCCGAACTGCGTAGAATCATAACCACCGGTTCTATAGAACCAGTCCGAACCGGTAAGAATCCCAGCCCTGGTTAAAGTCTACCCATACAGGTCTACCTGGACTTACACTAGCTCTCTTAGGGACTATTCAAAGTTACGACAGCACTGGAAAAAAAAAGTGACTTATGGCCAGTTTTCACACTTTGGACCGTTGTTAGCAGCCCCGTGGTCACCCGATCAAAATTCAGAGGCTTGGCAACCGACTCGCGTTTATGATGGTTGCAGTGTCCCTCTGTGTGTGTGTGTGTGTGTGACGGTGATCACTTTCCAAACAAGCCAAGTCAATGGGGGACTCGCTGAACAACCGGGTTCCCAATGAATCAGCTGCAAGTGGTTCACTTAACGACTGTGGCAAGAAAGGTCGTAAAACGGGGGCAAAGCTCACAATTGTTGTTGTAAGTGGAGGACTCCCCATGATTGACTGAGAAGGCACAAAGATTTCAAAAGCTTTGGGGGGGGGGGGCTCTTTTGAGACTGCACCTTCAGCTGGAGGCTCCATTTCAAGAGCAGCGGCCCGATTCCGTCACAAGCCTGAAATTTGGGGTGGAGCTTCAAAAGAAGGCAGCGGGTGAGCGACTCGTTGAGTTTAGGCTCTCTGTTTTTTTTAACCATCGGGCTTTAATATTTTTTACTCTCTATTCCTAATTTTTAAAATTCTTTTTTCAAAACTGTTATCGCCTATAGAGGCTGCCTATCTATAGCTCCAGCCATAACTTAATAATTCTCAATCTGGGATTTTAAGAATGGGGAAACGGGAAGATGAAACGGCATTTCTATCTGCTGCCGAAATCTGGATATTTGCCCCATGGTCCTAAGTCCTTGGGGACTGGGAACCTGTGGCTTTCCGGATGCTGTGAGACCGTATCTCCCATCATCGCTGACCACTAGCCAGTGAATCGGGACTGGGCAGGGGTGGTGGGATTCTTCTGGTTTGGACGAACCAGATGTTAAATTTGCACCTGGTTCACCAAACCGGTAGTTGAACTGACCGGTTGGCCCCACCTACCCACCCTTCTCCTCTCCTCCCCCCCCCCGTTTCTACGTGGTCCACTTGGGAGGCAGGTAAGTATAGGGGCTGCGCGGAGGTTCTGGGAGGATGAAAAAACAGGCCTTCCGGAAGTGCAGAACGGGCCTGTTTCCAGCTTCCGGAAGTGCAGAACGGGCCTGTTTCCAGCTTCCGGAAGT